ACCTTGGTTGCAACAATGATCTATATGGTCCCAGATTATATCAATAACGTCACACCCACCCTGCCACAATTCATCTCTAGAAATGAACGATGTGGTCACATCCTTTCGCCAGCCAGTCACACGTAGCTCCCAGGCGAGCCGACCAGGATCTCCAGATCAAAAGCAGTTCAAAACAAGCTAGGAAAGAGTTTGCATATAAACCTGCTTAGCGAGAACATCTGTCGAGCCCCCTCAGTCCATTAGCTAGCAGTGGGGCAAGAAGAGGTTTGGACTGTAGCACTTTGGCCTCGGTTCACAAAGGGATTTAGGCATCTAAGTCCCAGTTGTAGGCGCCACAAAACGCCCTCCAAACCCTGTGGCTGCCTCAAGTCATGTTTTTTGGGCACGTTTTGTTCCATGGGCACCAAAGTTTCTGCCTCTGAGCATGTGCCCGGCTGCCTCCAGCGCAGTGTCCAGCCACCTGTCTCCCACCTAAGCCCTGGCATGACTCGTGGATGAGGAGGGGATAGGCATTTGCCCACCTAAGTTGCATGTGGGGCCGAATCCGGTGGGTGCGCCCTGAGCATGCTTACTGGATCGGGCGCCACATGTGAGTTCACACAAAACAACTGAGGGAGGAGGCGCTCCCGCCTATGTTTTAGCCCAGTGATTTCGGGACTCATCTGGGATGTGGGAGACCCCCATTCATGTCCCTCCTCCACCCAATTAAAAGAAGGGATTTGAACAGGGCTCTAGCAGAGTGCTCTAACCACTGGGCTATAGCTATTCTGCAGTGGCCTTCTTCTCTCAGTCTCTCCAGTTGAAGCTGTTGAATTGTGGCTAAATACTTAGTGTCATTGGAGCAGGGGGACTGGCGCCTGGGAGTCTCAGCTCCTGGGTAAGTGCTCTAACCAGCAGGCTATACAGTCATTCTCATGCGCTCTTTCCTTACTTTGCCGCCGTAGGACAGCTTTAACCAGAGAGGCTGAGGGAACCCCACAGCCCAGCACCTGTGAGGTGACAGATCGCTGTTCAGAACCCTCCTCCTCCTCAGGCATAGGGGAAATGTGACACAAGGGCCCTCCCCATCCCCAATGAGTGCGGTAACACTCAGCATCCCAGCGCCTAAGACCCTTTGTGAAGCTAGGCCTTGATGACCGTGGCTGGTCTTGATGGGATTTTTTCCTGTCATTTAGTCAGTCTTTGCCCAATCAAACTATTCCTTCCACAATAATACACTGAGCAGTGTATGCAGAACAACAGCATCTCGCCTGCAATGACACACCAAAGTGGGCTTCAGTGTTTGCGTAAGGGGACAGAATGATGTTTTATTTAATGCCACTCTTAACTCAATAAATCTAACAATTAAGGCCAATTGCATATGATGTCCTTTTAGTAAATGGTCACTACTGAACTTAACTCCCTCCACGCTAAGTCCACGTGTGTTACTGTGTGTAATTCCATACTCAGAATGTTGGAATTCATTGATTTGACAGCCGCACCAAATAAAAGTACAACGCAAGAGTGCTGGATGTTAATGGGATCCGAGATGAAGGTCTGCAGCTTCCAAAATAAACAGCTTTGCTTTGCCTCCACATGGCAGTGACTAGGCCAGCATTAATGGCATTACTTGCATTAGGGCCAGTCACATTATCTCTGCATAGTTGTTATTCTAGGAGCTGGCTTTCCACTATAAGCCTAATTTAGTTATAAACACAAGTTTCCCAATACCCAAACCATTTGTGGACAAATTCCTAGGCCATAGCTTACTCCAGTACAGAGATGGTTGGGCAAGTGTGCAGCAAATCTGAGACCTTATTTAGACGAGATTAGCATTGCCAGACCACTGCATTATTTGGCTTACTACCTTTCTGGAATGGCTTTCCCTACAAATGCCATTCGATCGTATTTCTTCCCTTCTGCCTGGAGCGGGGCCTTTCCACACCGGGCTGGGATTTCTTGGCATTTGAGGAGATACCAGCACACGTAACAAGGACATAGAGAATTAATTCAGTAAGTGTCCTCTCATGCCATTGATACATTTGTGACAAATACCTGTGTCCGGGGGGAAATTAGGCCTTAGTAGCCAGCAGGCCACTGAGCGGTCAAGGGATGGCTTTACCCATGCAATATGCTTTGGGCCAGATCCTCAGCTGGTAGAAATTGGCATAGCCAGTGGTCATTTCTGCCAGTTCAGGATCTGGCCCATTCTCTGCCTTGTGTGCAGAATGGGACTGATTCTGCTTGCACATACACAGGTGTTGCACAGGTGTAATTCCATGGCCCTCACCCCCAGCCTCCCTGGCATGAATTCATGCTTTGAAACGTAGGCCTTGCTCATCCGCTGCCCCGTCTCCTTCTCTGTGTCTGGGCTGAAGGCCTGCAGGCCATGTGGGGAGGTACACTGTACAGCATTCCCCCTAGAAGTGGTGCCACCATCCTCTGCTTGACTTTTGGACTCCTCTGCCTGCATGTGTGGGTGTTGACTGGGAAATAATGTCCAGCTTAGGCTAAAAAGACAGAAATGCATGTCTGAGCCTAGAGCAGGGGTGTCCCAGAGCCAGCCCAGCTGAGGCATTTGAATGCTCACAAGACAGGTTGGCTTGTGCAGAATCTCAGCTTTTGTTTGAAACCAACAAGTCTGTTTCTAGCCCTGGCACTTGTAAAGAAAAACATCTGAACATGGATCGAGTATAAACCACTGCAGTGCTGTCTGCCTGAGTCTGCAGAGAGCCTGAAAGAACGGCTCTGAGTTGTGAACTCTCCCACGCACTAGTCATCTAATTGGAGTGAGACCCTTACAACCCAGTGATGACACTTCCCCTGTCATTAACTACTTCATCACTGTATCTGGTGCAAGGTGAGGGGGTGCTGCTGCAGGGAAGGAACAGCAGACGGAGGAACAGAGAGGGAAAGGGGAGAGAACAGAGGCAGAAATAGTGCTGTAAACCTTACGAGCATATCTCCCACTGAATGTGACATGAAGGTACTGAACAACTAAGGGATAATAACTAGATGTTTAGTTGCTATGTAAATGCCACATTCCACCCTTGATCTTTAGGAGTTCTGCCGGTTGAGGGGAGTGTTTAGTCCTAAATTAATACGCTGACCCACAGAGCATAATTAACACTGGAATTAGCCCTCTGGCCATCCCAGGGCTAGCACATTGCCATGTCAAAGCTGTTAACATTCCCAAAAGTATCAGCAGCTCCCGGTGAAGTAATTGTATTCTCTGTATCTGCCCATAACCCAGCCACCCTGCAGCTCCTGAGACAGGGCCATGGCATTGGGACTGGGGCAGATACTATCACAGATGCTAAGCCCGTCCTGTCCCTACAGGGAAGCTGAATGGCTGGGGGTGTCCTCGGGGGCACATGAGTGCTGGGGGGGGTACAGTCACACGGCTCACTGGGCACATCAGCAATGCAGTTATTAACCCCCCGAACGTGCCTGAAGAGATGGTACAATGCCACGGGGACAGCAGTTGTCTGGTCCCTGTGCTGGCCCCAACCACTCGGCAAGATTTCAGTGCCAGGAGCCTCCGAGCAGTTGTGACGGGGACCAGCGCAGCCCCGATGGGTTTGACTCTCCACATCCCCTCAGAGGGAGCCGATGGTGCAGTTTTAAACTGATGAGCGTGACAGGCTTCTCCCTCTGTGAAAGCCACGGAGCTGCTGGCAGGCCAGGGCCCCTGCTTGCAGGGGATGGTCTGGCTGTGCATCCCCGAGACCTGGCCTCCTCCACTGCATGCTCCTCCGGCAGGGCTCGTGCTGGGGGGCTGAGTTTGCCCCAAGTGAGCCTGGCCTCAGCAGGGAGAGCATAAGGGCTTTGGAACGTGCTGGGCTAGTGAGGCAGTGCGTGCAATGGCCAGCCGGGAGCCTGTCAGTACCAGGGCAGAGCCCATCCGCTTTGCCATGGCTCCTAAGCAACTGGGTGACAGCTCCAGGGCCGGCCCCAGTGTAGTCACAACCCTTCCTGGGCCACACTTCCCTTGGCGAAGGCAGCGCTGTTGGCACTGGTGCAAAGTGGCCAGCCTGGGCAGGAAGAGGCAGGGCAGAGGCAGCATGGCTCACCCTGCTGTCGACAGAATGGTGTCCCTTGTGCAATCTACTGGGCTGTTGGGGCAGAGACGTCTCCCTGGCCTCTGCTCCCTGAGTGGCTGCTAGTGGGTCAGGGCTAATGGGAGGCCCAGAAAACAATGTGATTATCCAGTAGGGCAGCACCTTGAGGCTCCACCCAAGATCAGAGCCCCTGAGAGACAGCCCCTGCCCCACAGAGCCTGGAGTTGGTTGCTTAGGAGCAGGGGAACGGGGAGACACCCTGTATGCAGCCACAGGATGGGGCAGTCACAGCACAGGTTTCCCCAGGGAAGCACTGCAGGTGAGCTGAGGGCTCAGTCTGCAGGGCACGTTTGGGGGGGGGGGGGGGGTTGTGCCTGGGGTCAGATGCAGGAGTGAGCTAACCGCACCCAGTCAGCATGGTACTTGGGGAGCTCTCCTTTTGGGGGGGCCAAGAGGAGGTAGGGAAGGACGTTCCACCCACAGACAGTCCATGACTCATCCCCAGAAGTGATGGTGGGGCTGAGACTAGACCCCAGATCTCCTGAGTGCCAGCCAGGGTTGGCGCCACAACCCTGCCCCAACTCTCACCGCACATGGAGCGAGCGTTGCCCTTCTGTGTTGCTGCTGGATTCATTTCAGGGCCAGACTCACCTGCTCACCCCTCAGGACAGAACCCAACGCAGCCAGCCACTGCGACTCCAGCAGGAAGGGCTGGCCCACCCCTGGGACAAGGGGAGCCAGAGCCAACGCCAGTGGCTGGTAAGATCCAGTCTCTTGGGAGCAGTTTAAAACCCTCCTGTCAGCAGGAGACAACACTGCGCTGAAGGCAGAAATTTGAAGGGAATTTGAAAGCACTCGCAAGAGAGCTGCTACTCCACCTCTTCCCATCTATTACCAATTGCCTGGTAATCATGCCCAGAACCTACTGCGACATACGCACCTGCCAGCATGACACAGGGTCATCTGGGGAAGAGATTGAGGTTGTTTATGTGGTTGAGTTATTACTAGGCTGTCCCTTTAAAAAATCCAAGGATGCGCAGCGAGGATGTCAGTGACAGGCAGATGCTGTCCAATTACAGCCCATCTGCATGATGTGTGGCTTGTGTGTATGCCGAGGCGAAGGAAAGCACCACAGAGATGGAGACATGAGGACTGAACAGACAGCAACAAGTGGTGGATGGGGTTTAAACCCCGCTAGCCCTGCTGGATCTCACCCAGACTCAGGCATACCGGGCTGGAGGGACAGCACTGGCTACACGTTTGGCAGCTGAAGGAGGAGAAGAACAAAACCTGAACGGCAGCCAAATGGTTTTACCTCAACTCAGGTAAGGTGCCTTTTCATTGCTGATTTAGCAAACAAGTAGTGCCGTTAGCAGGTCAGTTTCTAGTGATCTCCCACCCCACCGAAGCATCAGGGTTGTAGTCAGGGAGAGGAAAGCGGGCTGTTAAGAAATATGCCCTCTCACTAGTTATTATCTAGGAAGTACCCTGCCCAGCCTAGGTGACTGAGCATATTGCAGATGGGTCGGACTGGACGCTGTGCCATGCCGCACTGGCATTCGCTGTAACGAAAGAACTCTCGCTCCAAACATTGCCAGGCAGCCGAGGAAGATGCAGACAGGCTGGTAGTAAAATTGTGCTTCCTAGTGAAATGAAGCTGGGCACAATCATTGTTCTCTGTTGCTTGGCATGGCCACGACCCCTCTGGACAATCAAACTTTCAGCTCAGTGCCTAGCTTCAGTTTTTGAAAGCCAGTTTAATATGGATTTATCAGGCTAAATTCTGCACCGATCTTACACCTGTGCAACCCCATTCATAGAAATGGCTTCTGGATTGAATTGAAGGAGTTGGCTTTGACCTATAAAGCCAGAAGACCTTGATTCAGCATAATACTTTAACTTGAAGCATGTGCTTAATCCATCCCTATTTAGGAGAGTATTTAAGGACATACTTAAGTGCTTGGCTGAATTGGGGCCTAAATGCTTTGGGACCTGCTGAGTGGAGACCCTGCCTCTCTTGCCATGCCAGGATGACCAGATCTGGGGTCAACAGAGGAATTCCATGAGGGCCTTGCAGCACTGGAACAAGCTCCTCCGCCAGTCTGCACACACTGCATTATGTGCGGGGGCTGCTGCAGAAAGTGTGGGGTTAGATCTAGGCTGGACACGGCAGGCTGGGGAGTTGCTGTGGTTGAACTCTGCTGGATCTGGGCTGAAGCTGTTGTTTGTTCTTGTAATTTGTGTCAGGGGTGCCCATAGCCTGGGGTAGCTAATCCTTCTAATTACTGTATTAATCCAACTCACTCAAAGCCCCCTGCGCTGAGGCAGGACCAAGTAAACCTAGACCAGCCCTGGCAGATGTTTGTCCAACCTGTTCTTAGCAACCTCCAGTGACAGGGATTCCTGTTTGGAAGCCTGTTCCAGAGTTAACTACCCCAAGAGTTAGACAGCTTTTCCTAATCTCTAACCTAAAACTCACTTGCTGCAGTTAAACCCCTTACTTCTTGTTCTACCCTCAATGGACATGGAACCATTGATCACTGTCATAGGTGGCAGATGAGTCTTCTTTTGGGGTGGTCACACACAAGTGCCAGAAGCTCCCTAGAAGGGGGGGGGGGTCTCCTGCGCCTGGACCGTGGCCCTGCCACTGAGGCCCCGTGCCCAGTCATTCTCTTCCCCCGAGGCCCTGCCCTCGCACTGGCTCTTACCCCCGCTACCCCGAGGCTCCGCCCACCCACTGCTCACTCCTCTCTGCCTCTTCCCACAAGACCCCCCACCGGCCCCTCACTCCTCTCTTATTCTTCCCCAAGACTCCCCTCACCCGCTGCTTGCTCCTCTCCACCCCCTTCCCAGAAGGGTGGGCCTCCAAGGGGCCATGGGGCCATCACTTTTTTCTGCCTTAGGTGAGCGGAAGGTGGGGGGTCCTCAGGGAAGCAGGGACAGGAAGAGGGTGGGGCCTCAGGGGGAAAAGGCCAAGGGGGGTGGGGTGGGAAGAGTCAGAGTGAGAGCAGGGAATCAGGGGAAGAGACGGAGCAGAATGTGGGCGGGGCTCCCCAATTCTATGGGGCTTTGCTTCTGGTGCCCAAAGGTGGCAGCGGGCCAGTGCACCTCTGGAGGGGTGACCCGCGCCACATCTGCGGCATTTCTCCCCTCTGCATCGCTGGCCTTTTGGGGGGATGCTCAGCCTCCCCTGGCCTCTTATACATGCCATCCATGATCACCATCCTCTCTGTAACAGCCCTTCACAGATTTGAAGATGGTTCTCAGGTCCCCGCTCAGTCTCCTTTTCTCAAGACTAACCATGCCCAGGTTTTTTGCCTTTCCTCTCAGGGCAGGTTTTCTAAATCGTTTATCATTTTTGTTGCTCTCCTCAGGACACTCTCCAGTTTGTCCTCATCTTTCCTAATATTAGGCTTTATTTTGTTTTCAAATTAGTGTTAACTCCCATCCCCAACTCCCGTACTGATGAAATCATCATTTGTTTGGAGAACAGGCATGTAGATATATATATGTGCGTGTGTGTGTGTTAATTTCAGTGTTGCCATATCTCTCAAGCCTAGGTGTTTTTTCTTAAAGCTCCAGCTCCTGGAGTCATGTTATCTCATCATAATCTCGGCTTTCATTTTTTTAAAGTAACTTTCTAATTGTCCTGGTTGCAAAGAAAAGCTTGAAATCGTGACCTCTAAAGGCTCACACACTAAAGGGCAAATGAAAACAACCCTGCTTTGATTATCTGTTACAATCTCATGATTTGTAAACCAATCTCACAAATTTGGATGGTTTGGGTCACGATTTTTTTTAATGCTTGAGGTTGGCAAGACTTTCCCAGCAACAGATTATAACATCCCTCGTGCAATATCAGCTCTGTGTTGGGGCTCCGCCCATCCCATTCACTACTCAGCGGCAACACCCCTGCTCCTGTGCACCTGGTCCCCAGGGCCGGGAAGTCTCAACAGCAGTGCATGGAGTGGGGAATTACTTCCCTGTGTCAGTGTGTATCTGTGTCACACCCTGGCCCTCAATAACTGACCCTTTCATTTAAAAATCTGAAAAATGCAGAGAAATAACTTTCATCTGAATTGACCCTATCTGAGATGATGGTAGACAACCTTGTTAGGGGCTGGTGCACAGAATTAGCAGATTAACCCAGCGCTTGCTTTGCTAATGTAGATCACACACCGAGAGATCTAAGTGTTTCATAGTGTCAAGAAAAATAATGTCAATTTCCCTTCCCTCTTTTTGCTGTCAGAAACAAAAGAGCGCACTTTGAAAGACAAGAAAAGAGAGTACGTGACTTGCCTCCAGCTAGTCCCTTTGCACATCTGGAGAGATTAGCTGGCAAAGACTAACATTTCCCCAGCAGCCATGCAGAAGTGTGCCCCGTTGAGACGATGATCAGAATGTTCCTGGCACACCCAACAACCTCACTGGCACAGCTGTCCTCCACCCACGTTTTTTTCTGCCTCCTCCTGTGCATCCCTCCTGTGTGGACCTCCTGCCCCCAGCCCTGCCAGTGCACAGACCACTCAGGAGCCAGGGTTGTGCTGTGCAGCTCAAAGCATTTGGATGAAATCCCGAAGGACATTCCCCAAGATGCTGTGTTTGTGAAACTCGATGCAAATAAAATCACCCAGATCCCCAACAACGCATTCAAACACCTGAACCACTTGGAAGAGCTGGACCTCTCCAGAAACGCCATTGAGAAGATAGACATGGCAGCTTTCAGAGGGGTGGCAGACGGGCTGCGGACACTGGATCTTTCCAATAACCTTATTCAGAGTATTCCCAAGGAAGCCTTAGTCAAACTGAATGCTAAGATCCGCCTGTCCAATAACCCGTGGCACTGCGAGTGCGCGTTGCAGGAGGTGCTCTCGGAAGTGAATTTAGATCCCGAGTCAGTGAACGAGATCACCTGCCAAACCTCTGTGCGCGAAGAATATGTCGGGAAACCTTTGATCCAGGTCCTGGACTCTGGCGTCAATTTCTGTAACATCCATCAAAAGACCACAGATATCGCCATGTTCATCACCATGTTTGGCTGGTTCACCATGGTCATCACCTATGTGGTGTATTACGTTCGACACAACCAGGAAGATGCCAGGAAGCACCTGGAGTACCTTAAATCACTGCCTAGCACCCAGGTCCCCAAAGAGACCATCAGCACGGTCCTGTAATGCCAAGCACCGAGCACCGTGTCAAGAAATGCCTCGGGGGAAGCAATCTGCTTCTGACCTGCTTGCACAAGCTTTTCTATGAGATTTTTATGTGACATTTGATAGAAACATGAAAATGTATTTTGTTATTAACTGAACCATGGCCACAAGCTTGTAGGGGAACAGCAGTACCCCTGTTTACGTCACATCCCTTGCCGTGACGGGTTACTCATTGCTAACTAGGACACAACAGGATATGTCCTGGCCGCTGCAGAAGGTTAGAGAGCAGAACCCCCTAGTCCTGCCTGCCTCTGTCATTTCAGAGGGTGGTGTTCCGGAGAGTAGAATGTGCAGCCAGAGATCAAAGGTCTCCAGCGTCTGGAGGGAGTGTGGGGATCCTAAGTTGTGCCGCTGAGCAGTCAGTGTCTGCTCAGCACCATCAGCATGAGACCAGCACAGAGGCCTGTGCCTGCAACTGACACAGCCGTGTGGCCTTGGAGCCTAAGACACCAATAACTGCCTCGGGCTGCATTTCCCCTGCCCCACCGCAAGTTCCCTGCTAGAGGGAGCCCTCCGCACTGATAGAGGGGTCAGCCACATTGCAGCACCAGCCCCTCCTTGCCCCATACAGGCGAGAACGGCTTGGGGGGGGCAGGTCGGGATCTGCCTGCTCCTGCTATGTACTGGTTGGGCTCTGCACACGAGCATGTTGAGGTCTATAGAGGAGCCTGGCAGCTCTGTGTGGAAGGCCCTGATCTGGGTCCCTGTGCTGGGAGCATCCGTGGTCAGTAGCTAGATGGGCGCACAAGCCAAACCAGCGCATGTTGGTTCCTTCAGCCAGGGAGAACACCCCAGAAGTGGGAGATCAGTGGGTCACCCTCAGTTTCTGTCATGCCACAGAGACACATGCTCAGCCCTGGGCCTTCCTACCTGGGTCGCCGTTCAAAGGGATCGACTCACCCCCACCTGTCCCCTTCTGGTCCTGGGCAAGCTTCCCTGATGAGAGGAGAAAAACGAGCTGTTTGCCCAAGCCCTCCCCAGTACCACCCACCCCAGTCGTGAGTCAGACCCCACCAATCATGAGATTAGCCCCAAAATCAGGAGGGTTTTGGTTTAAGGAGTGCAAGGATGGGTTTAGGCTAGTTTTGGATTTTTGAAAAAAAAAATTGTGTGACAATCAGTGCTGCCAGCTCTTCCCTGTGTGTGTGTGTGTGTGTGTGTCTGCATATGTGTGTGTGTGTGTGATAGTTACAGTGCTGCCGCTCTCCCGTGTGTATCTCTGTGTGTGTGCGTGTATGTGTCTGCATGTGTGTGTATCTGTGTGTATGTGTGCGTGATAGTCACAGTGCTGCCAGCTCTCCCATGTGTGTTTGTGTATCTCTGTGTGTGGGCGTGCGTGTATGTGTGTGTGTGTCTGCGTGTGTGTGTATCTGTGTGCGTGATAGATACAGTGCTGCCAGCTCTCCCCAGTGTGTGTGTATGTGTGTTTGCGCGCGCGCACGCGCAGGGGAAGGCAGCCCCTTCCCCAGCCCAAGACTCCTCCGGCTCCTAAGGGGAGGGGGGCAGAGCCCTGCCTGCCTCCTGCAGCAGCTCTCAGCACTGCTCCCCACCTCCTGCCCAAGCCTCTCAGGGCCCCGGGGTGGCTGCAGCCAGGGGATGCTACTAGGAAAGGGGCCAGACCCAATGCAGCGGCACAGCGACACCTGCACTCCCTGGGGAGCTGCTGAGTCTGAGGGTGGGGCCTGTAAAGGAGAAAGTCCCGCCCCAATGGGCAATGGGAGGAGCTCCATGAGCAGAGCCTTGTGAGAGTCCTTCTCCCAGCGCCCCCTCTTGGGGCATTGGTCACGGAAGGGGATGAGCCAGCACTGCTGGGCGATAGCTAGGTACTGGCTGGGCGGTTAGCTAATTACTGACCGTCTGTCTGCGGGGATAGCAAGTCATTGACCAGCTGTCTGTCTGGACAGTTTAGCTACCCGGTAGTTACTGTCTGTCTGTCTGGGGCGGGGGGGACACCTAGTTATTGTCTGTCTGGGGGGGTTAGCTAGTTTCTATCTGGGAGTATTAGCTAGTTTCTGTCTGTCTCGGGGGGAGGGGGGTTAGCTAGTTACTGTCTGTCTGGGGGGTGGGCAGGGCTGGCTCCAGGCACCAGCTTCTCAAGCAGGTGCTTGGGGCGGCCGCTCCGGAGAGGGGCGGCACGTCCAGGTA